AAAAAAAAAACAATCATAGCGCATTGTCATGCATTCCCATTGTAGCTTACATGCATCCATTGCATTTTTTCCAGTAGTCGCATCGCACTGCATTGTCATGCATTTTTGTAAATATTCATTCCATTGCATATTTGTAGATATTGCATTGTAGCCTGCATGCATTCATTGCATCACCTTCCGTCTATGGCTTGCGCCTTTCCAGGTTGAGCTTGGTCTGGTATGTGCCCTTACTGTTCATGTTAAAACACAGTTCTGCATGTGTATCACGCCGATTCCACGCTGATATGTTGGTTGAGGGTTGCAGCACCTTTTCTGTGTTACACATGGCTCGTATGTGTACATGCCTTTCCTAGGCAAGATTTGGTTTGGCTTGTGTGCCATATCCATTGTATCCATACCCATTCCATTGCATATTTGTAAATATTGCATTGTAGATTGCATGCATTCATTGCATTGCCTACCGCCCATGGCTTGCGCCTTTCCAGGTTGAGCTTGGTCTGGTATGTGCCCCTACTTTTCATGTTAAAACACAGTTCTGCATGTGTATCGCGCCAATTCCACGTTGATATGTTGGTTGAGGGTTGCGGCACCTTTTCTGTGTTACACATGGCCTGCATGTGTACATGCCTTTCCTAGGCAAGATTTGGTTTGGCCTGCGTGCCATATCCATTACCATCTTCCTAGCATATCCATATGTATTACATTGTAGTGTAATTTTTGCATCCGGCATTAGGATCGTAGTCCTTTCTCCAGCGGGTCGTTTCCCCACTTATGTCAATTCCACCCAATACTTGTTCTTGCGTCTGTCTACAATGCTCATAGTTCAGTTGACCGTTCTATGGTAGGCAGACTTGTTATCTCCATCAATCTATTTGGCATAGGTTTGGTTTCGAACCACTCGTGATTGGATCACGATTCAATTGCTTTGCATGTAGTTTGCATTGTTTCAACTACATTGCATCTTCATTAGCATTGTTTATACATTGTTTTGTATATATTGCATATCATTTTGCATTGTCATGCATGTTGCTAACAATATTGTACCTGTTAAGTTTGTTTTCTTTTCAGGCACGATATTGTATGTACGGTTCATTTGAGGCTGGTGCAACCAGACGAGCCACACAGGTATTGTATCTCCCGAGTGAGACGTATTGAGAATTGCATAATTCTCTTACATCCTTTCTGCATTGTAGTGTAGTTTGGTGTATGCTAGCTTAAAACCGTCGCATGTGTGCTTCGTTACAGATTTCTTTGCATGATCATAAGTTATGCTCGGCTCTGTGCATTGTCTTGCATTTTGCCCCTGCCTCCGGGCGCATATCTTGATTGTCTTGTATGTTTGTCTGAGTCTTCGGCCTTGTCAAAAATGGGTCATCTCTGGACTTTGACATTCACTCCCGTCATTGTTTTGACTTTCGAGTTCTGTCAAAGAGGGGCAACTGTAGACACCCCATTTTTGACCGTCCTCAAGACTTGGACGTCATCGTTTGAACAACTCGGTGATTATCCATGTTGTGTTCGTTTGGAGTTCCCGGAGGCTCGGCTCGCGCGCCTTGCCTCAGGATCCGAACTCGACCGTTTAGTGTCTGGTTTTGCACCAAACACTTGCATCTTGCCTTGAGAGGAGGGTAGGGCTTGTAGACCATCCCCCCACCACCGGCAGTGGCTAGAGGCCACCGCTGGTTTTGCTGCCACCGGCAATTATTTGCCGGCCGGCACTTTTTGTTGCCGGTCAGCACTTTTTGTGCCGGCCGCACTCTTTTTGGCCAAGATGGCATTTTTTGGCCGCCGATTGCTGTTCATTGCTGCTTTTGCAGATATTTTTAGACAGCTGTCTTGCTTTTGCTCCCCTCCATACACGTGTATGGAGGGATCTCCCTCTTGAAAGCTTGTCCTTGTAACTTTACAGAATATAGAGAGAGGCTCTCTCTTGAAAAGAGAAGAAGAGAGAGGACTTATGTTAGAGAGTTTGAGAGAAAAACAGCAGTTGAGCTCTTGTTCTAGGGTTTGAGTTAGATACATTTCTATCTCTCTTTCCCTCTCATTTGTGCACTAGGTGTTTTTGTGTCTCTATTGCACACAACACACCTAGTGTTTCACCTTCCCCTTGGAGCTGAGGTTCTAAAGGGTTTGTTTTGAAGTTTTGGTGTATGGATTCAAGCTAAAGGAGGCCATTGGAGCACCATTTGTAAGGTCATCAAGGTGAGAATCTAGTCCCATTTTCCCCCATTTTTGGCATTGATTTTTATACCTATCTTAGAGCTGTTTTTGTGCTTATTGTATAACATAAAAAAGTTCTGTTTTTAGGCCCTCTTTATTTTTTATTAAGAGTGTTTTGTTGTTTGAGGGTGGTTGACCCCCCTTAGGCCTTGAAAGGCCTCATTTTGAGCCATTTTGTGTTAGCTCCGGGATTTTGGTGTTGAGGTCTCTTCACCACTGAAATCTTGAGGGATTTCAGTGGTGAAGATGATGCTTTGAAGTCCCAAGAAGGAGAGGGCCACCCCCTCTCCTTGTTGTCCTTGAAAAGGACATATTTTGGCCTCTTGAGAGAGCCTTATGCTTGAGTGTGTGTTGAGCATGTTTAGGATGTTTTTCATGCTTATATATCCATGATATAACATGATTTCAAGTTGGTTTTGGAACTCCATGCATGCTTAGCATAGTTGCCATGTAATGCCTTGTTTATGCCTTAATGTGCCTTAGGTTGTTAGCCTTTGTTGGAGCATGTTTTAGGCTTAGTCTTGTGAAGATTATGTGCTTATTTTGCCATGTTCTAGGTCTGTCCTAGGTTGCTTGGGTCGAATTGGGCATGCTTGACATAGCCCCTTTGTATTTGGGCTTGTTGGCCTTGAGTGTGTGCATGTGTAGCATGACATCTTTGCATTGTTCTGGTGACTTGGGATCATCCCACATGCCATTTTAGTCCCATTTCCATGCTTGTTTGATTGCCTTGCATGTCTCTTTAATGCTTTGTAAGCTTGTGTAGCAATGCTCCATGTTTTGGTGCTTATGCATGCTCTTGTTTCGAGTCATTTGAATGCCATTTAAGTGATTCTTGAGGTTTATTTTAGCATGATTTCAGTGCTTATGTTGCATGCTACTTGCTCATGTTTGTCCCTTTTAAGTGTGCTTGAGGGTTGTTTAATTTGTGCCTAAGTGTAGGCCTTCCATCATGTGTATGTGTGCATGTGTTTTGGCTCCTTGTTTTAGTCATTATGGCCACTGTTTTAGGCCTATTTTAGAGTTGCCTAATTCATGTATAAGTCCATCTTACCATCCATTTGCATTGCCATATGTATGCTTGCATGATTGCATAAGTTCATTGCCATGCCATGTTGCATCCTTAGCTTGTATGCCTAGGTTGCATTGCATCTTGCATGCATTCCTTGTCCCTTGATTTGGGTGATAGGGATTGGGAGTTTTGTTTGATTGGTTTGCATTGCATTTGAAATCAAAGTTGCATACTTGGTTCTTTGGGCCATCATACATGGAAATGTGTGATTGGTGGTCCGAGAATCGAGGCACATGCCCCTTTGAGTCATTGCCATGATAAGGGACATGGCTGATGCATATATGCCTTGAATTGTGCTGCCATGCTTTGCCTTGCCCTCTGTTGCTGTCATTTGCAGATTCTGCAGGAATACTCTGCCGACTGGCAGTATAAAATGCCGACCGGCAATCAGTTCTCTGCCGACAAATTCAATTTTGTGCCGATGGCCATACCACACTGCCGGTGGCAATTTCAGTCAGCCGGTGGTGATCCTCTCTGTCCAAGGGAGCAGTCCTGAGGTTTTGACAGCCTCCAGAGGAGTGAAGGAAGGAAAACAGAGGCAGCCCATGCATGGTGGCGCGCTTCCCGAGGCGTTTTCCTGTTTTTATTAATTTATTTAATTCGTTAATTAAATTAATTTGTAATATTAATTAGCTTGTGTAGTTAATTAATCTGTAATATTTATTTGGTCCCTCCGAGTGAGGGCAGATCTGTAATAAGTGTGCATGGGTGGTGTGTATGTTTTTCAATCCCCACTTCTTTCTTCCTTTTTACTTACCTGCTTTGATGGTTAGTATTAGGGCACGTTTAATTTAGCATACCTTATGCTATGCATGTGTGCATCCATTTGTATTGCATGCATTAGGCTCGGTACATCACGCTAACTGCATTTGTACTTCAATTCAAAAAATTGAATATGTGATAGTTGCGCATTCTCACATGCCATGTTTAGGATAGCCGAGCCTATTCTAGTAACATTTTGTATGCGATGCATTAGGCACTCAACATGGACTTGCATCATGCATGTTTGCTAACAAGTTCTTTGTTTTGGCACGGAGTACGATGTAAGTATTTATGCTTTAGCATCTCGCATGCGTGTGAGTGTTGCCATGACAGTATGCTTGCCATGCGGCTAAATGCTTATGTGATAAATTGCTTGAATGCCTGTGGGTGAAGGTTGGATTGTTTGAGTTGGAAAAACTCATTGAAATCCGTGTTTTAGCCTACTTGCGAGTAGCAAATTTCAAAGCATTTTCAAAACAAACGGATATGCGATGTTTCTTTCCAAATTGGACAAATCTAGTCTATACTTGTTTGCTGCGCACATAACACAGTAATTCTAGGCCAATAAATGGAATAAGAACACATAAACGTTTTCAAAAACGGATATCATGGTTAGTAGAGGTCGGTTTTCGGACCGGGCGAAAGGGGGTGCTCATAGCTGACCTTCCCCCATCGTACCTAAGCTCCCGAGCCGAGACAACTCCGGTGATGACGGACATGTGGCCTTCGGCACCGAGTCAGGGTTTCCTAAATTTTCCCATTTTAAAAAAATATTTAGGTGGCGACTCTGTATCTGGCAAAGCAGTCCATGTTTGGCACTACTTTTCAAAAAAATCTATTTTCTCAAACGATTTGCCAGATTTGGACTCTTTGGTTCAGATTAAGAACCGCGACAACAAAAATCGCGAGTCCGAACTGTAGCACCGAGGTCCCTCCGCGGGCGTTGTTACACATACCCATCAGGATACCTAATCGATTTTAAGAACTCACAAAAACCTTGTCTTTCCTTTAGGGACAATGTGAACAATGCAATGGGCTTTTCAAAGGACCCATCCGCGCGCCTCTTTAAGTGAAAATCCTTCCTAATTTTCATATCCTCTAAATCCATGCGTGCTTTTTCCGTATCCTTGTTCTTTCCATCAATGCTCAACAAAGTCCCAATTAAATTATCACATATGTTCTTCTCTATGTGCATGACATTGAGGTTATGTCGTAACTTGAGTGTCTTCCAGTAAGGCAATTCGAAAAATATGCTTTTCTTTGTCCAATTCAAGACGGTATTTTCATCCCTTTTTCTTTTTTGGTTGCTTGGATGCTTCCCAAATGGTTTAAATGTTCTTGAATCCAATTGATTTAAAATTTGTTCCCCTGACAACTCCGAAGGTCTTGCTCGATCATCTGCCTTACCACTAAAGAGCTTACTTCTTCGCCAAGGATGGTCTTCAGGTAAGTATCGGCGAGCACCAGTGTATCCTATCTTACTTCTTAACCGTTGTGATAATGCATTCTCATTACAATTGGGACAAGCCAAATATCCTTTTGTACTTCCACCCTGACAACTTACCATATGCAGGAAAGTCATTAATAGTCCACATAACAGTTACATGCATTCGGAAACTTGCCCCAGTTGAGGCATCATAAGTAACTACACCATCTTCCCATAACTCCTTCAACTCGTCAATTAATGGCCTCAAGTAAACATCAATATCTCTCCCGGGTGCTTGCGGTCCAGGAATAAGCAATGACATCATGGAAAATGGTTGCTTCATACACTTCCACGGTGGTAGGTTATAAGGCATAACTACCACAGGCCACATACTATATGAGTTGCTCAAATTTCCAAAAGGGTTGAAACCATCGGTGGCCAACCCTAACCTCACATTACGTGGTTCTTGGGCAAACACAACATGTTGCCTATCAAAATCCTTCCACGCCTCACCATCGGCTGGATGCCTTAAGATGCCATCATCAACACGTTTTTCTTTATGCCATCGCATATCTCCAGCTGTTTTTCTCGACATGTATAATCTTTGCAACCTTGGTGTCAACGGAAAATATCTCAAAATTTTATGAGGTATCTTCTTACCTTTGCCATCATTCATTTTGTATCTAGGCTCCTTACAAATCGAACAATTTTCTAAATTTGCATTTTCCTTCCAAAAAAGAGCACAATCATACTTACATGCATGAATAGGCACATATCCTAAACCCAAATCACGTAAAAATTTCTTCGCTTCATAAAGGGTCCATGGAACCTTTTGATCACTTTCTGGTAAAAGGTCTTTCAATACGCCTAACAACATGTCAAAAGACTTATTGCTCCACTTGTTTAAAACTTTTATATGAAGCATCTTAACGACAAATGATAACAAAGTAAACTTCTGACAGCCAAGGTATAATGGACGACGAGCATCCTCTAACAATTTATCAAAGTTTCGTCCATCTTCTCTTTGCTCATTATCATTCTGCTCACCCTCTTCATCATCATCAAAAATATGCGCCATGTGACAGTCATCTAACATATCATACAATTCATCTTCAACGTGAAGGCATTCATTGGTTGTCCCTTCATCACCAACACCTTCAATGTCATTGTCATTATTCCACACACGAGGTTGATTGACAGAAACAGTTTCCCCATGGTGCACCCAAGTCTTGTATGAAAGTGATATCCCTTTTCGGATCAAATGATATTCCACATCCTTAAAGGTATGATGTTCAAAATTTAGGCAATCCATACACGGACAACGAATTCTATTATCTACGCCAACATTTGTCATTGCAAATTGGAGAAATGACTTAACCCCTTCTCTATACTCCGAACTCAATCTATTCCTAATTGACATCCAACTCTTGTCCATATTTGGTGACCTACAAAGTGAAGATTATGTTAGGTGAATAAAGCAAAAACCAATTAACTAAAAATGAATTTTATTCCTATTTTGGAGGTTAATTTTGTTATAAGGTGAAAAAGTTATTTATACGCTTTAGGCAAGCATCAAATCTCACATTCCTTCCTATATTATTCAACTATAATAGTTATTGATTCCATTATGGTTGTTTTAGTATTCAATAAGCATAATATTGAACACTAATGCTGCTGCCAAGAAAAGAAGAAAAAAAAATATTAAGAACCAACAATAAGTTGCTGCTGCAACATGAAGCTGCTGCTACAGCACAAAGAACCAAATTATATTAACTGAAAAAATAATATTTTCTACTTTAAAAAAAGAAAAAATATTTTACAGATTAAAATTTTAAGGGCATCATCATTCTATCATCTGCATCACCACCTAATACAATTAAAGTCATAATGAATGCTCATCTGCATCATATATTTGACAGATTTGTAATTAACGTTCAAAATATATCCTGAATTGTTATTTCCCAAAATATATATATATATATATATATAT